TCTCTTTCAAAACAAAATGAGATTGAATCTCTTTCAAAACAAAATGAGATTGAATCTCTTTCAAAACAAAATGAGATTGAATCTCTTTCAAAACAAAATGAGATTTTAGTTAAAGAAAATGCTTCCTTAAATATTGAGATTGCATATTTAAAGAATGAGGAATCTAGTAATGTTTTGAAAAAGGAAAATGAGAACTTGAAAAAGAAAGTTTGTAATCTTGAGAATGCGATTTCCAAATTTACCTTGAGTAAAGAAAAATTTGATTCTATCTTAAAATCTCAAAGAAGTGTTTATAACAAAGGGGGTGTTGGATTTGATTATTCTAATTAAAAAGCAAAAGAATTTTAAGAATTTCTTTGTAAGGGCAAATCAATTTTCTAATCCTCAAGTTACTTGCTATTGTTGTGGTGTAGAGAGACACTTTGCCTATGCATGTCTTTTAAAGAGATTAATAGCTCAAGGTAGAGTGAAGCAAATTTGGGTTCTAAAAGGAACTATAAGAACTAACCCTTAAGGACCTAAGCAAGTTTGGGTACCTAAGATTAAAAATTGATTTTTGTTCTGTAGGTGTGCCTTGTGAGCAAAATGAAGAACAAATGGTATCTAGATAGTGGATGCTCAAGGGACATGATGGGTGATCCTTCACAATTCTCATCACTTATGCCCTTGGATGGTGGAACCGTAACCTTTGGTGACAATGGGAAAGGAATTGTGAAAGGAATTGGTGAAATTGATAATAAATCTATTTCTTTTGATGATGTTTGGTATATGGATGGATTGAAACATAACTTGCTTAGTATTAGTCAATTATGTGGTCATATGCTTAGTGTTGTGTTTTTTAAATCTCATTGCAAGATTATTGATTCTAGAAATGATAAAGTGTTATTTGTTGGCAAGAGGCTTAAAAATGTATATGTGATTGATTTGCATGACATTGATGCCAATATTTGTCTTGCTTCTATAACTCATGATGATACTTGGTTGTGGCATGAAAGACTAGGAAATGCTAGCATGAGTGTTATCTCTAAGTTATTAAAGCATAATCTTGTTGATGGCTTGCCTAAGGTGAATGTGAATATTGATGGTGTGTGTGATGCATGCATGAAGGGTAAGCAAACTAGAGTTTCTTTTAAGACTAAGAATTGCATATCTACAAATAGACCTCTTGAGTTACTTCATATGGATTTGTTTGGACCAATGCGCATTCTAAGCAATGGAGGGAAATCATATGTGCTTGTTGTGGTTGATGACTATTCTAGATTTACATGGGTTGCTTTTCTTGCACATAGGAAAGATGCACTTGATGCTTTCAAAAGTCTTTGTAAAAAGCTTCAAAATGAGAAAGGTTTTCCAATTGTTTCTATTAGAAGTGATCATGAGGGAGAGTTTGAAAATAATGACTTTGAAAATTTTTGCATTGAACATGGTATTGATCATAACTTTTTAGCCCCTAGAACTTCTCAACAAAATGGGGTAGTTGAGTAAAAAAATCGTATCATTGAGGAAATGGCAAGGACTTGCTTTGCGAGAATGATTTGCCAAAATCTTTTTGGGCCAAAGCCATTGCAACCTCTTGTTATTTGTTGAATAGAGTTACAGTGAGGCATTTTCTTAACAAAACCCCCTATGAGATTTACAAAGGAAGAAAACCCAAGATTTCCCACTTTAAAGCTTTTGGTTGCAAATGCTTTGTTTTGAACAATTGAAAGGACTCTCTTGAAAAATTTGATTCTGAAAGTGATGAAGGCATCTTTCTTGGATACTCTACTTCTAATAAAGCTTACCAAGTGTATAATAAATGTACTAAAGTTGTTGAGGAATCTATTCATGTGGTCTTTGATGAGACTAAGCATATTTGCTCTAAAAAGTCTTGTGATGGTGATGATGTAGATGCCATTGGAGAACAAATAAAAGATATGAATCTCAAGGAGGACAACACCAAGGAAGCTCAAAAATGAGAAAAATAAGGAGGACAAACATGAAGAAATGCAACAAACACATGAGCCAAGAGAACCAACTTTCCCAATAGAGAGATCCTATGTCAAAGGTAATGAAATCATTGGGGATCCATCAAAAGGGGTAACTACTTGATCTCATGCTCATAATACTTGTGCTTTTGTTGCTTTTATATCTCAAATTGAAACAAAGAATCTTGATGATAGTTTAAATGATCCTAATTGGGTGGTGGCTATGCAAGAGGAATTAGCTTAATTTGAAAGAAATGAGGTTTGAAATCTTGTTTCTAGACCTAAAGACCATCCCATCATAGGAATTAAATGGGTTTTTAAAAATAAGTTAGATGAGAATGGAGTTGTGGTTAGGAACAAGGCAAAACTAGTTGCTAAAGGCTATTGTCAAGATGAAGGAATTGATTTTAATGAAACTTTTGCCCTGGTAGCTAGGCTTGAAGCAATTAGAATGTTATTGGCTTTTGCATGTTTTAAAGGCTTTACACTTTACCAAATGAATGTTAAAAGTGTTTTTCTAAATGGTTGTATTCAAGAAGAGGTTTATGTTGAGCAACCTCCCGATTTTAAGATTCATTTTATCCAAACCATGTTTATAAAATTTCACAAGCTTTATATGGCTTAAAACAAGCTCTTAGAGCTTGGTATGAAAGATTAAGTAATTTTTTGCTTGTAAATGATTTTTCTAGAGGAAAAGTTGATACCGCATTGTTTGTGAAAAACAAAGGCCAAAATATATTAATTGTCCAAATCTATGTTGATGATATTGTGTTTGGTGTTACTAATGATTCTCTTTGTCAAGAGTTTTCCAAAGCTATGCAAGGTGAATTTGAAATGAGCATGATGGGTGAGCTTATTTTCTTCTTGGGACTTCAAATCAAACAATCCAAAGAAGGTATCTTTATCAACCAAAGCAAATATACAAAGGAAATGCTTAAGAAGTTTGGCATGGAGCTTTGTAAGCCAATAGCTACTCCTATGAGCACTTCAATTAATCTTAACAAGGATGAAGGAGGTAAGCCTATTGATCCCAAGCTTTATAGAAGCATGATTGGTTCCTTATTTTATTTAACCACAAGTAGACCGGATATAATATTTAGGGTTTGTTTGTGTGCTAAATTTCAAGCTTGTCCTAAGAAGTCACACTTAGTTGCGGTTAAAAGAATCTTTAAGTACCTAAAAGAATCTTTAAGTACCTAAAAGATACTCCCAACCTTGGTTTATGGTATCGTAAGGGTTCTTTCTTAGACTTACATTCATATTCAGATGTGGACTATGCAGGTAATAGGACTGATAGAAAAAGTACAAGTGGAACTTGTTAATTTTTTTTGTAATATGCTCATATCATGGTCTTCCAAAAAGCAAAATAGTGTTGCTCTATCCACAACCAAGGCCGAATAAATAGTCGTCGCAAGTTGTTGCGCCCAAGCGTTGTGGATGAAACAACAAATTTTGGATTTTGACATTGCCATGGATCATATTCCCATTAAATGTGACAATACTAGTGCTATTAATCTCACCAAAAATCCCATCCAACATTCTCACACAAAGCACATAGAAATTAGGCACTATTTTAATAGGGATCATGTTGCTAATGGTGATGTTAATTTATTGTTTGTGGATATTAGAAATCAATTAGCTGATATATTTACAAAACCTCTTGATTGTGATGGATTTTTCTTTATTAGAAATGAGCTTGGCATGTTAGATCCTAGTGCTTAATATGGTTCTTGAAATTAATGTAATTGTTTGTTAGAGTTTATGCAAATTAATGAGCTTGATTTCCATATATTGATTGATTATGGCTGCACACATTGATATATGTATAAGAATGCATAATTTAATATTTGATATCCAATTTAAACTTAGTTAAATAAAGAAATATCAAATTAGGTGGACTTTCTTCAAAACAGCCCCAAACCTTTTATTTGTACCAATCAAATTTTCATAGTCGGCTTAACCCCAAAAAATACAATGTTGAGATTCTCCAAGTTAAGTCGGCTTTCATGCCACAGCCAGCTTACTCGAGAGCAAGTCCGACCTGAACCCGCATCACAGTTGGCTCTGCCATTACAACTAGCTTTCCTGGGCACTTTTTATTTTGTGCATTTTCTCTCTCTTTGCACCAGATCAATTCGGTTTCTCTCCAAAAACACGCCCTCTCGTCTCCCAAACACCTAAATCCCTCAAAATCTACAAAACCCACCATTTAAACACTCAAATACCTTAAAATCCTTACATACCCAACATCAATCTTCAAGCTTTTGCTCCAATTTTGTGTGAAATTTGCTCCTCTCTCTCTCATGGCTTCAAGAAGGGCTGGAAGTAAAAGGAAACAAGTTGGGAGTTTAAGTGCTAGGGGATAGGCTCAAGAAGAAGGTAATACCTATGATTCTACACCATTTTGGGCTAAGGATGCCTCTGATCACTATAATTTTGTCTAGAATTTGGTTGTTCTACCTTGCAATAATGTGAAGTTTAGTCAATCCCCTTAAGGTGATATGCGTGTAGAGGAAATATTTAGAGAAATTGAGTGGATTAATTTTCTAGAAATTAAGGAGCCTGTGTATAATGATGCGGTTCATCAGTTTTATGCTAGTTTGAAACCAAAAAGGGATAAGTGCAAAACCATGGTTTTTGGGGTGCAAATTTAGTTTTCACCTAGGGAAATTTGTGCTGCATTAGAAATACTTAAAGGAGGAAATGATGAGTTTCAAGATGTAAGTGCAACAGTAGTTAGAGCAACAATTGCCCCAAATTGCACTACAAGTCAAATTAATGTAGGTCTTCTTACACTTGAAAATAGAGCATTATAGTGGATTATCAATTGCATTATTTCTCAAAGGAAGGGCTCTAAATCTATTGCACTTGGTAGTGATCTCTCATGGTTTGATTATCTTCTTAAGAGAAAAAGGCTAAACCTTGGAAAATTCATTTATCAGAACATAATAAAGAATTACTCAATAGATATGGGACTTCCTCATGGTGCTCTAATCATTGGGTTGGTGCAGAGGAACAACAATGATTTTACACATTTTAGGGCTGGAAAGATTAAATCTGGGACTACACTCAATAAGGCTTCTTTTGAAAGTATGTAATGTGAGCTCAGGAATGGTATTTGGAGGAAGAAAAGGGATCAAGCGATGGAACAGCAAGAGAGTGAAGAAGGAGGAGATGCAGACCAGTACATGGAAGAGCAAGAGGAAGTAGAAGAACATGGAGGTGACAACTGGAGACCTTTTCAAGTCTTCATGCAAACAACTCATCAAGAAACTTTAGAGCTTATGGTTAACGGGATGAGGCAGCTACAAACTGATTTTTATGATTTTCGAAATGAGATGAGAAGACGGATGGATTCCGTAGATGGAAAAATTGATCAAATTGTTAACCATTTCTTTCCTCCACCCCCACCTAGTGCCACCTAACCTGATATCTCTCTTTTAGCTAATCCTTAGGCTGGACATCTTAGGCACATGCATTTTCATTTTTAGATTGTCTTTATTCTACTTTCTTGTGTTTGATGGTTAAGACTAAATGCTACTTTGTTAAATATGTTGCCTTTTTAATGTTCTATGATTGTGAATATTAATGGCAGGAGTTGTGAACTTTATATTTGTTGACGGTTGCTTGTGATTTTGATGATTATTAAATGCTTTTATTGAGGAAGAGCAATCTGTGGATATTGTGCTTAAATTACTTATTTTTGATACTTTAAAGGTTGATATACATGAATTAAGGGAGAGTTTATTCATATACTTTTTAATGGATGAAAAAAAGGGGGAGATAGCATGCTGAATTTACTGTCATTTTTTGAAGTGTTTTGATGCTGAAACTTGTGCTTAGTTTTGAAGTCTATATGTGCTTTCATTGGATTATATATGTGCTTTTATCAATTTATTCCCAAAGTGTTTTATCATCACAAAAAAAGGGGGAGATTGTTGTACCTATGATTTTGATAATTACAAAACACATTTGAATAACTAATTTGTTCATTTAAGTGTGTAGTTCAACTTCCAAAAAATTGCAAAATTAAGTGAACTTGGACTGCACTAAAAATACCAAAAAAAAAAGGCTGAAAAATATGCAAAAAGCCAGCTCTAAAAATCTACAGCCTGCTCTGGTAATGGCAAGTGCAGAGAGCTTACTCTATGAGCTGCAGCTGGCTCTATGAGAGAAAAATTTAAGTGCACAGTTCAACTTTAACTTTGCAGTAGGTTGTGACGGCGCATTTAATGCACAACGGTTAAGTTATTTGAAAATTATTTAATGTTTTTAAAGTCAAAATCCCAAAACCAGCTCTATATTTTACAGTCAGCTGTGTAAGAAAATAGAATGTGCAGGAAGCCGGCTCGAAGCCGGCTGTATGCAAAAAATTGAATGTGTAGGAAACTTGCAAAGCTGGCTGTAGAATTCTAAGTAAACTGTATAGATTTGACTCTAGATTTTAAGCTAGTTGTACTAACAAATCTGCAATTTGAAATTACACGACTTGCAAAGCATTTAATGACCCCCAATGGCTAGAAATGACTATTTTCAACCAAAGGGCTATAAATATGGTTGGTAGCAGATTTGGGATTAGTTTTTGAGTTTTGTATTGAATATCTCTACTTACCATCTTGTGCTTTAACTTGAGTTTTTTTATCTTTGAGTGATCTTTGCTTATAATCCTCTTCTTGTTCTACTTGTGTGTTATCTTAGGGGTGTGAATATTCCTTCAAGAGTGATTTGTAGAGAGGATTCTTGGGGTTTATCTTGTAAAGGGGTGAGATTTGAGAGAAATACCATTTTTCTTGTAAAAGGATTGAGTAGCTCCTTTAAGCCACCCTTGTTTTTCTTAGTGGAGAGTGTCAAGGAAATTTTTGGTGAGTGAAACCAAGGTAGAGGATTAGGCTCCAAGTGGTTGAACCGAACCTCTATAAAATCATTGTGCAAGCTCTCTTCCCTACTTTCTCTTTAATTTTTGTTTGGTGGTTGCAAAGAGGTGAAAATTTGCCAACTCCAATTCACCCCCCTCTTAGAGTGCATTGAGCCAACATTTGATACAAAATCAACTTAGGACAAAGCCAATTATGCTCCCCTATTTGTCCTAGCTCCACTTTCTCCCTGCATCATAAAAAACATCATCTCCATCCTATCAACCTTCTCTTGTAATGTCAATTGATTCTTTTATAGTTTTGTCATAGTTGTTAAAAAAAAGTTGTCACAATCTATTGCAATTGCACCACACATTGAGATGACTGAACAGAATTATCAGGTATGGTATGTGGAGGACGCTTATGGTGTGTGTAATATCCCAAATTTTCTAAAATTCTAGCATTTAAGTTAAGGACTTTTGTGTGAGAAAATATTATTTTGGGGCTTATTAGCTAAAATATCCAAACTGGAGAGACTTAAAAGAGTAAAAATTTGGATAAGGATTAGCTATTTTTTTCTCCTTTCCTCTTTCTCCTTCAACCCGATTCTGCTCTTCTTCTTTCCACTCGATTCTGCTCTTCTTCTTTCCTGTCCCCTGCAGCCTCCCCCAAGCTGTCGACACACCCTCTTGAGGAGAAGAAATGGTAAAGCTTGATTTTTTCCCTTCTTTCTTGTTCAAGAACAAGCTTAGAACCTAGAACCCCCCCTAAAGCCAAGAAAATTTCAAATCTTGCAACCTTTCTTCTCCCCTGCTACCAGTTTCAGCTTGGTGAGGGTGGGGATTTTTCAATTTTCTGGTAAGGGAACCACCATGAAATCATCACTTTAGCTTTGATTTGCCTTGGGTTTACTCTAATTTTGTGTTGTTCCTTCAATTTTGGTAACCCGTGAGTGAGTTCATTTTTCTTCTCCCCGTCGGCTCCCTTCCCAGCCGGACCCGATGCTACTTGCTGGGAGATTTTGGGCATGTGGCAACTCCTTGAACCCAACTTTTACCCATTTAATTGCTAAAATTATCCATGTAATTACTGACCTGTGTGTCCGAATTTTCTGCTGGAAATAGGGGAGAAATTTGACAGTAATTAGACCATGATTTAGCTTAATTCATGTAGGAATTAGTTTAATTAGGCAGCTGTGATATTTTGGAGAGAAAATGTCGTGTGTGTGAGTTGCAGTTGCCAAAGCCATGCTCTCCATGTGCTGCCCGTGGGAAATGGGAAAATTTTATGTGCATTATGCATATATATAAATGCACAATTTAATTTTTGTGCTCAAATTTGGAAAGAGGAAAAATAAGATAAAATAATAAATATTGCATTTCGGGATTGGTCGCCAACAATAGGAGGGTTTAAATGTGTAGTTATATTGAGATGTCCGGTCATATGGATATTAATTTTTGAATATTTGATTAGGTTCGTGATTGTTTTGTCACCCGAGCACTTCGCTTGAGTTTCCAATTTTATGTTATTTGAGGCAAGTAATTATGGTAACGCCCTTCGACTTTAAAAGTATATTTTAACTTGTTTTTGAAGTGGTAGCGGGACTAAACCCATTTTATACAAAAATGAGCATGATTGATTTGAAATAAGATTATTATTCTTTTTATTGATTTGAGCATGCTTGCTTGGAGTTTATTGAACTGCCCTGATGATCTGAAAATTATCTGTAAAGTATGATTTTCTATTAAATTCTGCCTGTTTTGTCTCCAATATGGTCATGTTATTCGTGTGCCCGCTAGTAGGAGGTTTATAAACGCTAGCACATGTCGACATGTTACTGATAGAATCGGTTCGTTTATGTGATTGTTATCCTGCTAGTGGGATTATACACTAGTAAATCGTGTGCCTGCCAGTGGGAGGTTTATAACACTGGCCATGACCTATAGAGGAGACGTCTATTTTGTTTCCGTACTCGTACCTGTTTTTCATGATTATACTGGTTGGCATGCTATAAGTTTAATTAAGGGCTGTCCATATTTATTTACTGAGTTATCTCATAGTTTTTCTTTATCCACCATTTCAAGAAGCGAAGTCAAGGACGGGGAAAAACGAGGGGAGTGATGAGTTAGAAGGCTAGCCATCTTGTAAATTGAACATAGATTTTAAATATAGATCATGATCTTGTAAGCTAGACTATAAATTCATTTAATGGATTGTTAGTTTACAAGAGATTTGACCTTGAGATTTTGAGCTTAAGTCATGTTGGACATAGACTTATTTTGAAATATCTGATTTAAGTTATTGGATTGTCAGATGTGAATTGGAAAAGTTCCGAGCCTTGTGCATTTGTGAGACCCTCTCACAAGTGTACGGCGTCTGCCACGTCCCCGAATTTAGGTTCTGGGGCGTGACAGATTTTGTGGTATCAGAGCTTAGGTTTAAATTAAGAGTTTAGGTTTAAATTAAGAGTTTAGGATTAAATTAAGAGTTTAGGATTAAATTAAGCACCTCCAGATTGAGTGGTATCAGAGCTTAGGTTTAATTAAATACCTAGGTTTAATTGAATACCTAGGATTTGTTTAGAACTTGGCTGGCCAGTGGATTTTAAAACCGTGGTGAGATGAGTGATGGGGTTATATAAGGGACGATTCTAATTCATGTTGCCTGAATTTTCTAATCCATTTTGATGAGATGGTAATCTGATTGTTCTTGTTTCCTGCCTTCATACCCTGTGTAGATTCATGAAATTAATCTTGTCCGCCATGCTCTTAAGACCTTGTTTTGAAAGTTGGTTATTTTCTGATAGTCTGCACTTGTTTAGACTTGTTACTTGAATAGAATTTTTGTATGCTCTTTTGCCACAATTGTAAAATCTGGGGAGTTGCAGAGATATTTTGTTATTGATCCTGTTGGTCTCTACAGCATAGCTGGTTGAGAAATTTGTTCTGTTTGTCACATGACTAGTGGAAGATGGGCAACCCTTTACTTTGTAAGAGATTCAAAGCTATTTTAGCATATTTTAGCAAATGTTGTGTGTTTTCTAGATGCGTGTTAAGAGCTGGATAACTTGGTAATTTCGTTGCTCATTATCTTTCTGAAAGTCTTATAGTGAAATTTCACTTTTTCCATTTGGAGCTTCATGGTCTTTTCATGTGGCTCATTTTTCTATATTGGTCAATAAAAAACAATGATCAATTCAATTGAAATTACCGTGTTTTTGTGAAGATTGGCAAGCTGTCATAAAGTTAAACTCTCTATTGTTGCTAATCTCTACATTCTTGATACTTGGAAACTGCTTAAAACTCTTGAAATTCATCTAGAATCTTTCTTGAGATTGCTTTGTACTTGTTCTTGAAACTGAAATCCAAAGGAAATGGATAATGATTATTGAAATCCTCATTATCTTTATACTTGTCTGAAATTAATTCTTACACTGTTCTTGGAACCTTATCTCGAACCTTGCCTGGAGTAAAGTCATGTTAGCATCCTTTTCTTGAAAATCAATTGATATTTGGTTTTTGGAATCTATTTTGAATTGTCCTTGAAAACCATTCTTGTCTTGATCCTTGCTCTTGTTCAAATTCTGTATACTACTCTTGCTCAAATCCTACATATTCTGCTAGTTCTTGTTTTAGTATACCTGTTGATCTTCTTGATTTTTGATTTTGTTCATATGGACACCTCTTTAGGAGGGGTGATGATTATTAGAAAATACCTATATGAGGCATACTAATTCTTGTCTCTTGCAAGTGTTAATCTCTGTATTCTTGATGTCTTAGCTTTGACTTGACTCTAGGATGTCTAGGATGACTTGATTGTAAATCTGTTTAGCCTCCATGGGCTACGAAGTGAATGGGTAGTCTTTAAAGTACTTGATGCCCTAGAGTTTTGTTCCAAGAGAAATGGTTCTTTTATCTAGCTGCTTTGCTTTTTGTTTGCCCTTTTAATTAGAAGACAGTAATCTTCTAAGTATCCTGATCCCTATTATTGATTATTCTGTTAATTAATTCATGTTGCTTGGGGTGCTAGATCTTGACATCCTGGTTATATCTGCTCTTGAATTTGTGTTCTAGTTGTCATTATTGAAATCTCTTTTGTGGGCTTAATCCTTGAATTCTATTGCTTGTTTCATGGTTAACTCGTGTCTCTCAATTTTGATTGCTTGGTTAAATTTGATCTTGATTCTTGGTGAATGTCGTTTTGTTGCTGAATTTTTTGAGGCATTCTACCTTGCACTCTTATGTTCCAGTATTCTTCCAAGCATTCATGTTTTCCACTGATTTCATTCTGATGCTATTTTGGAAATTTCACATGTCATTTGATGGGTCTAGCTTTTAACTCTTGTTAATTGCTAAAATCTGTCTCTTGATTCTAGTTGCTTTGTTAAACATGACCTTGCTTATTGGTTAACCTTGTTGTGGCAGAATTTATAAGGCATCCATGCACTTGTTCATTCGTTCATGATCCATATATCCATTGGATGCTTATCCGTCTTTGATAGAGTTCAAAATTTTGTTGTACTCGTCTTTAAATCCATGCCATTCTTTGCCAACCCATCTTTGTGTTGGGTTCATAGTGTAACCCCACAATTGTTCTTTTGTGGCTTTGGCAGGATTTATTTTTATTCCTTGTGCTTCTCATATCACTCCAGCCTCTAGTAGCTTGTTTCATGGTAAATCTTGTTAAGTAGTTAATGTTCTGCTTTTATGATTAGTTGTGGTTTGATATCAGAGTAACGCAACAGAAGCGTAGTAGGCCATGTTCTGTTCATAAGAGTTGGTGAGGCATTTGTTTTGTCTCGGATTGTGTGAAGCTATTCACCAGTCTAGATGATCCTCAATTTCAGTTTTGGGGACAAAACTCCTTTTTAGGAGGGGTGAATGTAATATCCCAAATTTTTTGAAATTCTAGCATTTAAGTTAAGGACTTTTGTGTGAGAAAATATTATTTTGGGGCTTATTAGCTAAAATATCCAAATTGGAGGGACTTAAAAGAGTAAAAATTTGGATAAGGATCAGCTATTCTTTTCTCGTTTTCCTCTTTCTTCTTCAGCCCGATTCTGCTCTTTCTTTCCCGTCCCCTACAGCCTCCCCCAAGCTGCCGACACACCCTCTTGAGGAGAAGAAATGGTAAAGCTTGATTTTTTTCCCTTCTTTCTTGTTCAAGAACAAGCTTAGAACCTAGAACCCCCCCTAAAGCCAAGAAAATTTTAGATCTTGCGACCTTTCTTCTCCCCTGCTACCGGTTTCAGCTTGGTGAGGGTGGGGATTTTTTGATTTTCTGGTAAGGGAACCACCATGAAATCATCGCTTTAGCTTTGATTTGCCTTGGGTTTACTCTAATTTTGTGTTGTTCCTTCAATTTTGGTAACCCGTGAGTGAGTTCATTTTTCTTCTCCCCGTTGGCTCCCTTCCCAGTCGGACCCGGTGCTGCTTGCTGGGAGATTTTGGGTATGTGGCAACTCCTTGAACCCAACTTTTACCCATTTAATTGCTAAAATTATCCATGTAATTACTGCCTTGTGTGTCTGAATTTTTTGCTGGAAATAGGGGAGAAATTTGACAGTAATTAGACCGTGATTTAGCTTAATTCATGTAGGAATTAGTTTAATTAGGCTGCTGTGATGTTTTGGAGAGAAAATTTCGTGGGTGTGAGTTGCGGTTGCCAAAGCCATGCTCTCCATGTGCTGCCCATGAGAAATGGGAAAATTTTATGTGTATTATGCATATATATATAAATGCACAATTTAATTTTTGTGCTCAAATTTGGAAAGAAGAAAAATAAGATAAAATAATAAATATTGCATTTCGGGATTGGTCGCCAACAATAGGAGGGTTTAAATGTGTAGTTATATTGAGATGTCCGGTCATATGGATATTAATTTTTGAATATTTGATTAGGTTCGTGATTGTTTTGTCACCAGAGCACTTGGCTTGAGTTTCCAATTTTATGCGATTTGAGGTAAGTAAATTATGGTAACGCCCTTCGACTTTAAAAGTATATTTTAACTTGTTTCTGAAGTGGTGGCGAGACTAAACCTGTTTTATATAAAAATGAGCATGATTGATTTGAAAGAAGATTATTATTCTTTTTATTAATTTGAGCATGCCTGCTTGGAGTTTATTTAACTGCCCTGATGATCTGGAAATTATTTGTAAAGTATGATTTTCTGTTAAATTCTGCCTGTTTTGTCTCCAATATGGTTATGTTATGTGTGTGCCTGCTAATGGGAGGTTTATAAACGCTAGCACATGTTGACATGTTACTGATAGAACTGGTTTGTTTATGTGATTGTTATCTTGCTAGTGGGATTATATACTAGTAAATCGTGTGCCTACCAGTTGGAGGTTTATAACACTGGCCATGACCTATAGAGGAGACGTCTATTTTGTTTTCGTACTTGTGATACCCCAAAATTTTCTAGAATATTTAAGTGAGTTAGGGACTTGTTTGAGAAAGAAATATTGTTTTGGGCTTAATAGCCAAGATTTGCAAAGCTGAGGGACTTAAAGAGGGAAAGAATTTGGATAAGGATGACTTCTTTTCTTTTTCTTCTTTTTCTTTCTTTCTTTTCTTCCCAGCCTTGCCCGATTCTGCTCTTCTTCTCATTTCTTCCCGCTGCAGCCACCCGAAGAAAAAAAAAGGGGAACCCGGCACTAGCCTTGAGGAAAACCGGTAAGCAGCCTGATTTTATCCTTCTTTTCTGGTCCAAGAACCTGATTTGGAACCCAGAAATCTCTCCCCCTGCAGGAAAATCCGAATCTGCCCTGCTTTGCTCTGTCCTTCCGCCAGCTGCTCCTGCTTTGTGGGGGTGATTTGCTCCGGTTTTGGGTAAGAAACAGCTACCAATCCCTATGTTCTTCTTTGATTTAAGTTGGGTTTGCTTTAATTGCTCTTGTTCCTCCAATTTTTGGCTAGTCCGTGACTTTCCCTGCAACTTGCCGCCGGCAACTTCCCCAACCTGCAGTCCGGTTTCTTTGCTTGCAAATTCTGGTATGTGGCAGCTCTTTAAGCCTAAATTTAGCCATTTATGTGCTGCCTCTGTTGTCCGTGAATTGCTGGAAAAATGGGGGATAATTCCGGTAGCTTTAGGATGAGATTTAAGTATTAATTGAAGTGGGATGTATGTGATTGAGTATTAATTGATTGCTGTGATATTTTTGGAGAAAATCTCATGAGAATAGGCTATGGTTTGGCCAATTTTGGAAGTGCAGTTACTGTTCACATCGTGGGTACTATTCACCGACACTGTTCACACACCGAGTGTCAATAATTAACGGGGATTTAAATGATTAGTTTGTGATATAAGAATAAATTTGGAGATGTTCGGTTATGTGGAGATTAATAGGAATAGCATCGGGATTAGGAGTGATCGTAATGAAGTATTCAGTTTGAATTTGTGATGGTACGAAATTAATTCTTGAAATTTTTGATTAGGTTCCCAATCATTTTGTCAGTTAGTACTGAATTGAGTGCTCGGTTTTATGCGAGTGAGGTAAGTAAATTTATGGTAATTCCCGTACAGTTTTTAAAAGCATGTTTTAATTTGTTTTTGAAGTGGTGGCGGGACTAAACCCGTTTTATACAAAAGAAAGTATAATTGATTTGAAATAAGATTATTATTCTTTTTATTGATTTGAGCATGCTCACTTGAAGTTTATTTGATTGTCCCGATGATCTGAAAGTGATTGGTGAATTATGTTTTTCTGTTACCTTCAGCCTGTTTTGTCTCCGATGTGGTCACGTTTCTGTAATCCTGCTAGTGGGAGTTAAACGCTAGCACATGTCGGCACATGTCGATATGTTCCTGTTAGAACCGGTTCGTTCCTGTAACCCTGCTAGTGGGGGTTATACACTAGTAATTCCTGTTGCCTGCCAGTGGGAGGTTTAAACACTGGCCATGACCTATAGAGGAGGCGTCTATTTCGTTCCCGTACTTGTATCCGTTTTTCTGATTATACTTGTTGGCATGCTATAAGTTTAATAAAGGGCACTCCATATTTTACTTACTGAGTTTATCTCATAGTTTTTCCTTGTCCACCATTTCAGGAAGTGAAACCAAGCACGGGAAAACCACGGGAAGTGACGAGTTAGAAGGCTAGCCATTTCGAGATTGATATAGATTCTAGAAATCATGATCTTGTAAACCAGAGTGTATTTGGAGGTTTTATGATATCAGAGTCAAATTATAAAATTTGATCTTCAGATTTTGATGGTATCAGATTGTGATTGGATAAGTTTCGAGCCTTGTTCATTTGTGGGACCCTCTCACGAGTGCACGGCATCTGCCACGTCCCCGGATTTGGGTTCTGGGGCGTGACAGTACCCGTACCTATTTTTTGTGATTATACTGGTTGGCATGCTATAAATTTAATTAAGGGCTATCCATATTTACTTACTGAGTTATCTCATAGTTTTTTCTTGTCCACAATTTCAAGGAGCGAAGTCAAGGATGGGGAAAAACGAGGGGAGTGGCGAGTTAGAAGGCTAGCCATCTTGTAAATTGAACATAGATTTTAGATATAGATCATGATCTTGTAAGCTAGACTATAAATTCATTTAATGGATTGTTAGTTTACAAGAGATTTGACTTTGAGATTTTGAGCTTAAGTCATGTTGAACATAAACTTATTTTGAAATATCTGATATAAGTTATTGGATTATCAGATGTGAATTGGAAAAGTTTCGAGCCTTGTGCATTTGTGAGACCCTCTCACAAGTGTACGGTGTCTGTCACGTCCTCGGATTTGGGTTTTGGGGTGTAACAGTGTGACACCCCTTACTTAGCAAGGTCCATGTAAATGGGTATTCCATAAAGTCGCCTATCTTTGAAAGGTCCACTTGAAACTTAGAACAAAAGTTGGGCATCAACTACTATTGGCCATGCAGTTGTGTCCTCTCCATATTTCTGAATGACCTTTACAGTTAATCATTCTTGTAATAAATTATATAACATACTTATTTTATCATTTAATAAAGTATAAAAACATTACATAGTCAGTCATATATTTGCAACTATGATACTCAATATAACTATAAACAATACAATGAAATTACTTAAATTTTTGCAATTATTATAAATTTATGAACAATTTGGTAGAGTTTCCCCTATAAATTGTATTTTTTTTCTATAAATAAAGTATAAAAATACATTCAATCATATATATTTCCAGTTATGATATTTAATAAGATTAAAATGTAATCTGATTTCACTTAAATAAATAAGTATAGGAGAAATCAAGTTGTCCTTAGTCAATTAATAAGGTATCCTTAATTTTTGCTTAATTTTTTACTATGACTAAAAATGAAAGAAAAAGGGTCACATAACTTGCTAACAATAAGGTTGGGGACATATAGAGGAATTTATTCTATAAAAGTATACTTCTCCCTTGCAGACAAACTCTTCATCAGCCCACAATGAGATTCGTTTTTCTTGTTAATTCAAAATGTTATTTTGTAATCTACACGGGACATATTACAAAAAAATTTAACAATTAATGAAGATATAGAGGAACCAAATTAACCAAAACAGGAAAAAAATTGAAATAGGATAAAATTGAAATCAGATTGGATGGATAAATGGGATTCTTTTGAAATTTATATATCAAGAAAACAGAATTTATAAGCT